GGTATGCTTCGTTCAGTTGTGTGCTCGTATTTTAGAGGAAAATCGGCATTTTCTTTGCCTTTATAAATCTATATATGTATCTAGTAACGGTTTAGAAAACTTAGAAAACGTCTAAAACTTTTAAACGAGAAGGATAAAGCTTCAATATTGTTCGAAAACCCGTATTTTTACGTTATATTAGTATTTTTTACAAAAATTCATAAACTTTTCACGATTACGGGTTGCCGTACCCCGGATTTTCCGAAAGAACCTTTCATTTTCCCCATTTTACCTGCATATGCGCCTGTTGCATTTGTTGTTGTTGCATCTGGTATTGTTGTTGGGCCGTTTGCTGCTGCTGGGTTCTTCCGGCTTGTTGTTGCTGCTGGGCTGGATCATGAGCCGCGGAGGCTGCTTTTGCTCCCTGAGGCTGTGCACTTTGCTGCGGACTTGGGTGGGGCATCGGCGCTCCGGGGTACTGCGGCATTTGGCGCATCTGTTGCTGCGGCATGCTGCTGTAGCCGGGGTGCATCGCCATTTGGTTGGAGTACTAAAAAACAACAACTATAATATTAAAGGTTTTTCGTACCTGCATGTGCATCATTTGTCCATTTGCAAGGCTAGAGTATGGCGGTGGTTGTCCTCGACCTGCTGCTGGCATCGGTGCGAAGCCGGCTGGATTCTAAAGCAGTAATTTATAGTTTGTTGCTTTCGGAGAATCGGGGAAATTTTTCCTACAATCCAGAAATACCTAGAAATCTAATTTAAAGCATTACAATAGTCGTTGACCAAGACGCAGCTATTTATCACGCGCAAAACCATCTAGAAAGCTTAGAAGAATGTCAAGCTTATCAAATTTCGAGTAGTGATTGGCAGTTTTGGTAAAATCAATGTTATATTGTATTTTTTGTCAAGTTAAGTCGTTAGTTAAATTAGGAAAATCAAGGAAAACTATCTAGAAGACTTCGAAAACAGGTTTTAACTTCGAAATCCTGGTTCAAAACTATATTTTGTATAGTTAACCAAATTTGCCACGTTTTGAAGCTCAGAAATAGTAAAAAAGGCGTAAAAACAGTTTTGCTATTTATTTTAGAGCAATTAGATCAAAAGAAGAAAGTTTGACACCAAATCATGCGAAAAAAACCCTGTAGTTTTATCGAATTAAGGAAACTCTTACATCTTGCTGCTGCTGTTCTTGTTGTTGCTGCTGTTGTTGCTGCTGCTGCTGTTGTTGTTGCCGTTGTTGCTGCGCTTTCTTCGAATTTGACGTCCTTGTCGGTGCGGCTGCTTGTGGCGGATCCGCTCCCGTCGCTGGCATCGGGGCCGAGACCTGTCGATTGTACGCGGGCGGATATCTCATCCCTCCGTTTTGCGTCGGCAGCCCGGCTCGTTGAGCTGCAGCACCTGGTTGCGGAACCATTCCCCCGTATTGCGCTCCCATCATTTGGCCCGACATCTGGAAAATAGTAAATATATTTTATTTAAAGGGCGCGGAAAGAATACAAAGTTTTTCGAAGAAAAACTTAAAAAATAAGCGGAAAATCTAATGTAACGAGTCCACATTACACTTCGTTGATATAGGAGCGTTTCGTACTGTTTATAACCTCGTTTTTCGAATTTTTCACATTTTTTTTGAATATTTTTAATTCTTTAATACTAAATTAACGAGTTTTTTTATTAGTTTCCTCTATTTTATGATTCGAACGTTGCTTGTATATTTGACCCTATTTAGTAAAGTTTGAAGCAGAATAACTTTTTTTAATCTCACTATACTACTATTATGTGTTATTTTTAGTCCTATTGCGCTGAAATCCGCTCCGGATGCCCTTTTCTATCTTCTATATCTGGGTCGTATCGGCTGCTAGTGAGCACCCCGCTAATAAGCCCAATTTCCTCCCGGCGGAGGAGACCAAGTTTTTGCTGTTTGTGAGTCATAAAAACCGATCATTATTCGTAATTTAACTTTACGATGTGGTAGAGATGATAGGTTATAAAAATACAGTGGGACAAAGTTTGTTTCTATGGCTCCTAGAAGAAATGCAAAGTTTTAAATTAATAATAGTTTTTCAGCAAAGTTAAACAACTCTTCTCGCGAGTTTTTAGTAAGATTTTTATTTATGATTTAAGATTAGTTTTTTAGCGAGTTTCTTCTCGTTTACCCACCTGTTGCCCCATTTGCTGGTGATATTGCTGCATTTGGGCCATGTTTCCCGGCATCTGCGGATATTGCTGGCCGCCTGGAATTTTTCGCGTTTATTTTGGCGTCCTGCTATTTAGGAAATTCCCTAAATAACACAAGGCGTTTGTCACATTTGAATGGCTGTCGTGTGACAAGCAGCCAGTCATGATTTACACGATGAATCGACGTGCTGCCGTTAAACTACACTATTTTACAGGATTTTTCCAATTTTTTTCTCTGAAAGCGTTTAAATTCTTGCTCTTGACTTACCCTGTCGCATTTGGGCCATATCCGGATAGGCCATCCCGTTGGGTGGCCTCATCTGAGCGGCCTGAGGCCCATTTCCGACCATTCCGCGGCCGATCCCGTTCATTTGTGGGGTACCCGTAGCCCCGGCGGCTCCTCCATAACCCATATTTGCTTGCATTGATTGGCTTCTGAAATCAAATCGATAGAATTTAATGGTTTGGTGGGGTAACTGGCATTGAAAAAAGGACTTTTGGAAGGCGTTGACTGTTACCTTTGCTGCTGATAGTTGGCCATTTGACCCGTTGTTCCTGGGTAGTACCCGGCGCGTGGCCCGAAGTTTGACTGCTGTGAGTCTTGGGGATTTTGCTGGAAGTGGTTTTTATAGTTTTGTTAGTTAGTATCGTCGTAAATTAATAAGTTAGAGATCTAGGCGTTGCAAGGTTGGTATAATCAGATTTGTGGAATTTTTTGTAACAGTTTTTGTAGTATATGAGTTACGTTTTGGCTGTGATACCACAGAGATTTAAGAAGTCACCATGGTAAGAAATAGTGTAACGTATCCCAAAGTGGAACGATGATATCGGCGTTTAGATATTTTTAATTTTTTCGACATATCGTTCGTTGGAAATTTGCGTAGTTTTCGACGTTCTTTATACCTTAAATATTGAACCATACGTCTAAAAGAGTCGATCAATTTTTAAGATTTCAAATTTTAATAATAAACGAGAGTTATTTGTTTTAAATCACATACCTGAAGTAACTCCTGTAAAACCGAAGGTTGCTGTTGCTGCTGTGGCCCGTTTTGAGGACCATTCTGCTGCCCTGGATGCTGTTGTTGTTGTTGCTGCTGTTGTCCAGCCGGAGCCTGGGTGGGTGTAGGTCCCGACGGGATACCGAGCTGTTGCGGATCCTGTTGGCCGTAGCTGGTCGACGGATAGTCCATTCGGTCCATCTCCGCCAGGGGGTTACCGTCCATCCCCCGTGGAGCTGTTTGAGGCGCTCTAGAAGGTGCGGGATTACGGAGTATAAAAGCAGTTTTAAGTGGAAAGCAGGCAGTATCAGAGTATTATTAATGGAAAAAAGAGAAAGAAAGAAAGAAGCAGAAAAAATGGGCGGAGCTTGAGGAATCAATACTTCGTATTAAAGAGGAAGAGGCTGTTAATGACCTTTTTTAAGGTATCGAATTTTCGAAAGCGGAAAGAGAAGGAAGCTGGGTGTAATTTGGTCCAATCGGGGCAAAAAAAACAATGGGCGGAGCCTGGGGAATCAATATTTGGTACTGTAATCACACCGGGGGTTACTGTAGAAAAGAATGGATGACGAATAATGGTAAGGAGACAAAATTTTCAGTATTTTTCAAAAACCAAACGATGACTCCTGCAGGGATATAGTGGAACGAAAAAAAAATAGTGAAAATCTGGAGAACTCGAAAATTTGCATAAAAAGCTATAAAAAGTGGCTGAATTAAACTGAATTAAAGGCACCATTTGCAAATGGAATTATGAATAGCCACTCGTAACGCCTTTGTGACTTTCAAAAAGGCGGGTATTCACTGAAAACGCTACCCGAGGCCACGCCTGGCAGATGCAAATCAGCTGGGTGGCAGCTCGACGCATTATTGAAAGGCGTTGTTGTAATTTGCATGAATAACCGATTTTCAACACTAAAATTTGAAAGCATACCCAATTCCTTGCTAAGACTCAGTTTGCATATCGTCGCGCACACAAATTTTTGTCGGTGTTTTTCATTTCAAAGTATCGAAAAATTTCGATCAAACGTAACTTAAAAATTAGAATCCAGCTAGTAGAATCTGGTTCTGTACTCAAAAATAAGAAATTTATATCGTAAGGTAAGTTTTTGAGCGGTTGAAGCTTAGCATATAACCACCGGGTTTTCGGAGTTTCAAAGTTTTTCTGCAAAACTAATGTACAATTTGTGGTAATAAGGTATCAGTATACTCAACTAATTACGAGGATCAAGTTACGGGATCCCGATTTTGCAAATAGTTGAAAAATTGGCATAAAAGTACCGTAGTCCAGGACGTTAGTGGATGGCAGTTTTGAGTGGCTTGGAGGCTAGGGTGACTTTATAAGGTATGGACACGTAGTTTAAGATGATACTTTACCTTAAAAGTCTTCTGTTAAACCTGTCAAGCTCAAAAAACCCGAGGGCGCGTGCATCATTTTGGCCCCCGGTTCAGGGGGCAAGAGGGTGGGGGGTGGGGCGGGGGTCGCATCGTGCCGCCGCCCAGGGGGGAAGAGACGAATACGCGAGGCTACAGACTACACGCTAGACATCGAGAGACGGGGATGGGGAACGGACAGGGGGAACGCCCCCAACCCACCACACATGCAGAAGAAGAAGAAGAAGAAGAAGAAGACGACGACGGAAAAGAGTCTCACACACGCGCCCCACCCTCTGGGCACGCACGCGACGCGCCCCCAGCACTTTTCCGGGGGTGATGGGGGTAGGGCGGGGAGGCCGAGGTTCCCACGGTGGTTTCAGGAAGGATGCCGCCGGGGGGAGAAGCCAATTAAAATGGGTCCGCCTGGGTCAAATATAGGGGCAACTGGAGCGGGGGATTGATTGGATTAAAGGTATACAGGGTGTCCCAATAAAAAAAGGTCACGCTGGCATTTTGCTATTTCAAATCCGACCGACCTGAAATTTTGCACAGAGGTGCGGAAGGGAATTTAAAATGTTCACAGAAACTTTCAGCCCGATCGGTACAGTAGTTTTCGAGTTATTGTAAAAATACTGTTTTTCCCACACTTTCGCTTCATTTTTTCGGCTATCTTTTTGGACTTTGCATCAATTAACATAAATTTCCGGCTCTAAATCCCTTATTCTTCTTAACATCGGCGTCGTTAGCCCTTGTTAAAAAATACTTAAATCGCCTATTTTCGAGCCGAATTTTGCGAAATAAAAAATTTCCTAGGATCAAAAAGGGACGGCGCTTCATTTTCTCCATACATTCCAGGGCTCAATTCCGGCGCAATCCAGGTGAAAAACTTAAAATAAAGTTTATTTTTGTTATAACTCGAAAACTACTGTACCGATCGGGCTGAAAGTTTCTGTGAACATTTTAAATTCCCTTCCGCACCTCTGTGCAAAATTTCAGGTCGGTCGGATTTGAAATAGCAAAATGCCAGCGTGACCTTTTTTATTGGGACACCCTGTAGATATACTTTTTCAAAAACGCGAGATTTGATTGCATAACCGAACCGAGCTAAGTGTGGAAGAATCCTTAAAAATTCAACAAGTGAACGGGCGATGGATTGATTAGATTAACGGAAGATGAAGCTCAATATTATTACTCGTGAACCAATCTTGAAAGTAATAGTTTGGTGACGTCAGCAAACAAATTTTTTTGTTTCGGCAAAGTATTTTTAAAATTGGTGAATTTTATATATTCTAAAACGTAAAAAAAATTCCGAAGAAACCTTCGCCACGTAGGTTTTTATTGCGTCATCGAATGCGTGTATGGACCGTCCTAAAGAATTATTTCCAAAAATTATATATAGAATTAGATTGAAGCCGAGAAATTTAACGTTATTTGGGGCGAAATTCTTCAATGAAAAATTTAACGGAAGGAACGCAAGGTAATTAAAGAGAAATGGCAGGAAAATAATTCGAACACACCTGAAAATAACAATTTCTTTGCGTAATCGAAACCCTTGATCAACTGTATAAAGGAGCATGCAAAACGTTGGAAATAATAAGTTATGACAAGCCATAAATATTCAAATAAAGCTTTAAATTACAGGTGCCTTTAAATGCGCAATATTTTGAGCTCGAGCTCGAATTTTCGGCATTATTTGAACCCGCGAAACCATGGCGATTAAGCTGCCAAAATTTATGGATTGGAATCACGAGCTTGTCACTTGCAGCGCCGGTGATTCACCGTAAACAAATATTGCGCCGAAAATTGCGGGGGTCAAGAAGGGCAGGTCGGCTACCGTAAGAAATCGAGGAATACGGTAGTTCTCGACTTAAATATAATAAAAAACGTTTTAGAAGGTAAGGTGGCAGACCAGTTTCTTACAGTAATTAAAGTTATTTTTCGCTATTTGGAAATAAATTTTAAAGGTTCTTGGAAGTCACATAAACTATAGACGATCGTTTAAAATTTTTTTGGCTTTTAAAATGATCTGAAGTAAAGCGAATACCTTTTTCCCCTTTTACTTACCTCCCCCTTTTTACTATATTTATATAAAAAAATTAAATCCCTTTAAAAAAAAAAAAAAACCCCCCTCCCCATTTAAATATTTTTCCCCCTTTCCTATTTTCAAATTTTTTTAAAAAAAAATTAAAAAAAATTTAAAAAAAATATAATAAAATTTAAAAAAAAAATTTTTTTTTTAAAAAAAAAAAAATTTTTTGGTCTTCCTAAAACAAACAACAACAAAAAAAAAAAAAAAAAAACCAAATCCCCTCCTTTTTATATTTTCAAAAAAAAAGAGGTTTTCAAAAAAAACACCCCCCCCACCAACTTTTTTTTTTAATTATATGATTTTAAAAGCTAGAAAACTCGTACAAAATGCAAAAATGTTTTGAACTGTATTTTTGCTTTCTGACGAATATTTCAAGGAACTGGAAAAACACGGAAAATTGATGTCGTAACTGATTTTTCCTTCCAAACCAACCTAATCAAATTTCCGTTTATTACGTCTTTACATATACGCGGAAATGCGCGCCTTGATCCGAAAGATCCGGAAGAGAGGGGAAGCCCAAATTGCCAAGAGAGCCCCGTCCCGGTTTGCCACTACAAAAAAGTAGTCGATAATCCCTCCGATGCGCGTTACCCGAAATTGTGGCATATAGCCAGGGATTAGCACTTCATCACCAGATACCCCCCAAAGATCCCTGGATCCGCGCTGAAATCAGAGAATATTGGGATCAATTTCCCGGGAAGAAGCCATTGAAAAGCTTGGAATTTGCGTAATCATGGAAAACTAGCAACTCAAAAACGTTCTTTTTTTGATGCCGGAATTCATGAATCATTTTGTTGGGGCCAGCTCTAAAATATTTCCAAATTCTTCTAAGCCAAAACGAAAAGTCAAGATGGCGTTTTTCGCGCCGTTAAACATTTAAAAATAAGCTGAATGTTTTCCCACATTTATTTACCTTCAGTTTTCATCCACAATCTGCCTTTAATGCTAAAATTGTCGTTCTCAGTTCTAGTTATAATTTTGAATTTACTTAATTCAGGGTCTTTCGCATTATCGGGGGGGCATTTTTTCTAATATACATAGAGAAAGTGTTTCTAGGTTTTGTTTACTAGTACTAATCGTAAAAACGTTACAATTTTGGATAAAAATGCAGAAAAATAAAGATTTTTCGAACAATTTTCATTAAAATCTTTTTAGTGTTTTTATTGTTTTTCCATTTCAAATATATTTAAGGTTTGTTAAAACACTATCAAAAATTACTATAACATGACTAGGCATTTCTGGATTTATGAGAAAAAAGTTGAACCCCGTCCCCGATAACGCAAACGAACCGTAATTTAGCTGAATTATCTTGGATAGTTAATTAATCCCAAGTTTTTAATATACTTTATCACGAAATTTAACATAATGAATTAATAGATTTTAACACGATTACACAATTTAAATAAATGTTGAGCACGTACCACACAAAAAACGGGTGAAAATTGAGCAAAAGTCGTATGCAAATTTTATTGCATCATAGAGTGAGAAAGTTGCGTAAGAAATTGTGTAAATTTAGGAGCAATACAAAATCTGCTCGAAGAAGGCAAAATTCGATTCAAGCAGGACGGTTCTTTTTCGCTCCAAAACAATGCAAAAGCCCCGCCGAATTCGGCACTACCATTCCCGCTTGCCATTATATTTGCCAATGTATCTCCGGGGGGCCATCCAGCCGGGCCCGGGGCTGAATCAATATAATGTCAACAGTTTTTTGGGGAGGGGAGGCGATCAGCCGATTCAGAAAAGACAGAAGGAATAAGAGAGGTGAAGAGGAGCACACCACAAAAGTCTCGAGGCGCATGGAGATAAAATCTGGCTCGAGACGGGTGGCCAAATTTGGCAGGCGCTCATATCAGTGAACCGAGTGAAATATTATGGTATGGGTTTTGACATGGGTGTATTTTGGTGTGCTATGACATGGCAAAAAGTTCGCATAGTCGTCCACGACGTATGAAGTTCGATTTTTGTAATTTTTCCTGCTTCGTAAAAGAACCGTGACATGAATTTTTGTGTTTACCGGAAAAGCTAAAGAAAGAGAGCTATAGAAATAGAGAGAGAGGGCGAGGCGAGCGAGCGAGAGAGAGAGAGAGAGAGAGAGGAGAGAGAGGAGAGAGAGAGAGAGAGAGAGAGGAGAGGAGAGAGAGAGAGAGAGAGAGAGAGAGAGAGAAAGAGGAGAGAGAGAGGAGGCGAGCGAGAGCGGAGAGAGAGAAGGGAGAGAGAGAGAGAGAGAGAGAGAGAGAGAGAGAGAGAGAGAGAGAAAGAGAGAGAGAGAGAGCGAGAGAGAGACGTGAGACGTAATTTGGTGGAAAGCCTACTTTTCAAGCCTCCAGCCGTCAGGCGCGCTTCTGCTGAAGTTATTAGACAGCAGTTTACGGTAGACTAGCTGCGTTTACGTCAAAATTAAATCGTAAGTTCGAAAATCACAAAAACTTTCAGGCAGGCTAAATTCACGATCAACCATGCTTTTCCGCAGAATTTCACTGGCAAACTGTCAAGTAAAATTTATATTAGGAGTCGGCTTACGTACTAAAGTTTAGTTCTTGATATCATCAACGAATTTGTGAAACGATCTGCCAAACTTTAATCGCATCAAGCGCCAAATCAATCAAGGCGCTAGGCCGTCCGCTTGTTTCTCCCAACTTCCCGAAACCGAGACCGTTGCCAAGGATCGATTTTGATTTTCCCAGCGACAGCGTGGCACACGACACTTCCTACTGAATATCATCGAGAGACTGACCCGGAAAGCCCGAAAAAGCCCACGCCCGCGGGTAATGTAGCGAAATCGAGCGTGGGCTGGGATAATCCAAAATTTGTTGCGTTCGCCAACTTAAAGCGCACGTTCAGGGAGGGGCCGTGTACTCGTCCCAACGTGTACACCCTATGGACGTGGGGACCGCGCGCACGGCCTGCCCGTGCTGTGACAGGCCATTCCCCTCCTTTGCGGCGTGGGGCGCCCCTCAACCCCACGCCAGGTTGCAGCTGTGGCTGACTGGTATCCATCCGCGCCTCCCGAGCGGGGGGGCCCGGGTTCGACCCCCGGCCGCGGCAGAAATCTTTGCTTTTTCCAAAAAAAACGTCCCTGAACGTGCCCTTTAACTATCGAAAAGGCACCAAAGCACGGTTCGCGACAAATCAACGTTCAAGCGGAACCGTTTGAAACTGAAAATTTAACGTATGTTGTGACTACAAAAATACAGCCGAAAAATTTGAAGAATAACCGTTAAAAGTAGCATACGCCCCGGCCCCTATTTGTCAATTAATGGCCCAGTGCGGAGATTTAGGTCCGAGCTCGCAAATTAGAGTTTGAGACTTAGAGTTTCAGAGGCGCTTAAAGAGATAGGGGCGGCATAAGTCAATCGATTACGCGAGGGAAAGAAAATGTCTCTGCGCCTCTCCCCTGGGAGCCCTCTCTCGCGCGAGATCGCCGCGGGACCTGTTGAACCCCCCTCCCCAAGGGGGGGTTCAACAGATGCCGTCCTCATCTCTTTAAGGTATTTTTAAGCAGTGAAGATGGATATTTGAAAAATGAATAATCGCTGCCGTAAAGTACGATATCCCGCACCGGCTGGTGCTCGATTCGATCAATGGTACAACACAGTCGGCGGTCTAATGGGCACCCTTTCTCAAGAAGGGGCGAGCTACAGGAGACACCTAGGGACGAGACGGGGGGCTGTGATGGTCGAAGAGATCTTATCCGGAAGATATGACGGGGGCAACCCCGTCATTTCTGGCATTAACGATAATCGCGGGCGAGTTGGCTTGGGGTCACATGTGGATCACGAGCTTCAGAAGTATTTCGTAGACAAAAAATTTAAATCTATAACCGATCGGAAATATGGCTTTTTATTCTTACAGAGATAGAGTTATGCCAAAACTCATTCAATAAATTAATCGAGGCTATCCCAGCCTAATTCCAAGGTTTTAGGAGCTCGAAATCTTGCTGAATTTCAACTAAAATAGAGTGCCCCAAAAATCGCCCTTAATTTCAGCTTGCGGCCAAGACATTACGGCTGATTCGACGTTCCGGATGCTCTCCTATTCAGGCTCCGGCACCTGCTATTGGAGGATCAAATCGGTAAAAAGGGTTTTAAGAAAGTCGACTTGAAATTTTAACGTCTAGTACATCTTAAAAATACAAAAAATGTTCTAATTCTACGCTAGAAACCCACAAAAACACTTAAACTAGAATCTCTTGGATTTAAAGAAACGGTCAGACGACAAAAAAAACGATAATTTTAATTTTTAGCCTAACAACGGGCGAATCCGGGTTCAAATAACGTCGCTACGCTATGCATGCGCTCTGAGCTGCGAGCAATTTGTCGAGGTAATTTCATTAGTTTTATAAAGGCTTTAAAAATCTTTAAATTACTTGAAAAAAAGCTTGAAACCGCTAAATTTGCTAAATCGCTTTTGAATCACTAATCCGCCAATAAATCACATTTTAGTTCAAATACGGACTCTCGCTAGCGGCCACCGGTGCTCGAATGTGCTGCTCGCCTACTGTAACCCAGGTTTGAATAAAAGCTGCATAAAGGATCTCGTATCTTTAGTTCCTGAGCGACGGTCACTATGTTATCATCATTTCCACGGCATCTCAAGCTTCACAGTTTGTGATACAGTACAGAAATGGTTAGAATCACAAAACAAAAAAATAGCCTCTTTTTAGAGGGAGGAACAACGGCCCCTCAAAGATCTCCACCACGCCCAGCGACTACAGTATTTGTTGGAAGGGTAACTATATGGAGATTTTAATTCAGAAAACGCTTTTGTAAGCTATGTGGTTTCCACTTAATAGAAATAGCAAAAATAGACAACAAATTGTTTGATAGCAAAATAAATACAATTTTATCAAAATCGTTCAAAAATTTGGGAACCGATTTAAATTTGCGGATTAAAAAGTTATAAAAGAGTGGGGAAAAATTAGAAAAGAAAAGTTTCTTAATTCTATGAAAATAAATTGGACTTTTTCAACAATTATAGATGTGAACTCACATAAATTATGAACGTAAGTAAACGAAATTAACCTTTTTCTAGAGTATTAAAAGACCACAACTGTAATATCATCATGATTACAGAAGGTGTAAATTTTCTAAAATCCTTTTAGTGGTCCGGTTGGGGCGGTTGGTCTGCCTGCACGGAAAAGTGTGGCGCATGCGGGGTACGCTCCAGAATTCGAAGCTGTTTGTCGGGCAGGTGCAGGTGGGTCCCCATTAGTAATCTCTACCGCAGAAAAAATTCATACACCATCAAAAAAAGGCTAAAAAATTGGAGCACAACCCGATTTTTTAGTACGCCAGCTGGTCGGAGAAGTGGAAATTTCATGTCTAGTGAACTGCGGAAATATCATAGCAATTCTAGAAAAAGGATAATTAGCTTGCCACCTTTGTAAACGTCAAACCTAATTTTTTTAGCGGTAGACTTCCAAATTCTTGCTACAACAACACAGAAAAAAAATGTCAAAGCAATGGCTAAAAATTCAAGATTGCGCAAAAAAACCCTAATAATCATAAAGAAATTAACGTTTGCTGGATATTTTAATTCTTTAATCTCTGAATTTTACGGCTTTCCAATTTCATGGCGTAATTCTTTCATTCAATTGTAATTGACATCTTTTTCAGCGTTTCAAAAAAGCTGAAAAAAATTCAAAGTCTAACCAAATTCCAAATTTTATATATCCGTGAAAACAAAACTGCTGAAATTGCTCCAAAACTCCGATTTAGAACTTTCCAAAACTTTATTTTGATGGCGTAATGCGTTCCCGGAAAAAGGAAATTTTGTGAAGTATGGATTTGCAGAAAAAAGGTCTGGGTTCAAACCTAGAACGTTATGCGATAACCATTTTTCATGGTGTGATGCATTCGTAATTACCAGTTTGCATATTAGGATAGCGATGATAAAACTTTAAACGTTTGCATAAAAAGCTAAATATGTAGTTACCTAAAACAAACATTTTAAACTTTCCAAGCGCGCGCCGCGAAATATCAATCAACCACCCGCCCCAGACACTGGCATTTCAGCGGTTCATCCCGAGAGACGCAGACGTGTAATTTGAATGCGTGTGCCCGCGGGACGACAGTCAGTGGAGGAGGAGCACGAGGATCGAGGAGGGGGAAAAGGCAGATCGACATGGCCGGGAATGTCGTAGAGGAGGAAGAGGAAAAGGAAGAGCACGAGGAGGAGAGTCATTTGGGACACTCCGCTACATTGCTCATGACGGGTAGGTGGTGTTGTACCGGTAATAAGGACAAGGGCTGGTAATGTGCTAAATTGGGACCGATGATATAAAATTAACCAGATCGACGTTATGTCTCTCCCTAGCTCTTTCTCTCTCCCTCTCTCTCTCGCGCTCTCTCTCTCCCTCTCTCTCACAGGCTCTCTGTCTCGCTTTCTCTAGCCCTCACACGAGCTCTCTGGTTATCATTATCTTTCATTTTCAGTCTTTCTCATGCTCATTCTCTCTCATTCTCATTCTCGATCCGAAGGAAAAATCTCTTTCGCTCTCCTAAGACATTTCCAAATACACAATTTATATGATTTGGCAAAGCCCCAAAATGGCCCATTCACAATTAAAATACGAGCTGCCAAAAATACCCTTAACACGCCGGAAATTAGGAGCACGAGGTGCAGAATTCCCATTCTCTAAAATCTGATCCGAATCTGTGTGTTTTAGCCATCCGCCAAAAGCGAAACGCCAACTACTGGTGCTGCGAGAGGTATCTGGCAAAAGGAAGTGTCTGTGTCCACGTCTAATTACATAACTTTCAGTATTTTAATAAATTTTTCACTGCCAGGTTCATGCATTGGATTGTAATATATGATTTTATATAAAAAAACCCACACGTAATATGAAACTAGCAAGGCGTACTCGTAATTGAAATAATTCACACAAAGAGAAAGGCCATTGGTATAATTTGTTAGAAAAATTCTATTCCAAAATTCGTTGAATCGATCGTTGTCGCATCGATTTGGTGCCGTAGTAGAATAGGAGAGTTACGATCTAAAGGTAATGATTTTTCAATTCAATCGTGTAACCCATCAAGCAGATTCTGAGGCAAACTAGCAGAGACCTTTCAGGAAAATTAGAATGAGAAACTGACAAATATCACGTTGACAATTGCTATCGCCGTCGACGTCCATTCAAACCCTATCCATTGTACCGCCGCTCCACCGAGGGTAGGACCGATAAATCCGCTAAAATTTAATTTTAAAGGAAGATGGAAGGCAAAGTCGACCACAATAAAAGTTTCGATAGATAGTCTCGCATGAAAACACGTACCCAAACGCAAAAGCGCTCTGGAAAATGCCGGACACACAACCGTAGGTGTAGATCGAGTCGTCAAAGTCGTATTCCCTGAAAAATCGTGCCAGTTGAACTAGCAATAATCGGCTCACTTTGGCATAATCAATTATTATATTATCAAAGCAATTATCCGATGAAGCAGATTTTTATACTATTATCAACTTACTTGACGGCATCAAGGCAGTTTTGGAAGGTTGGAATGTATAGGGCTCCAGCAGCCACTCCAAGTATACATAATGCAAATCCTATCACCCAGAGATTTCTGAAAAGGAC